AGTCTTCTGTCTTTCCTCAAAGACACCTCCTTCCTCCTCCTCCTTCCCGCCTCCCTCCTCTGCTTCTTTCTCAGCCCTCTCCCACATTCAGGAAACTCAGGCCAAGCCAAAAACCCTGGTCCCTGTTTCCGGGAATGTGTCCCACAAAGCCACAGTATAGTAAGTTGGCTCTGACGTGGGAGCCATTGTTAAGAGCCCAGGGCCCCCATTGTCCGAGGGAGGAACAGCAGCACAAACAAAACCCCCTCTTCTGGAACGAGTAGGGAGGGACGAGCTGAGGGAGCCTCAGCTATTAATAAATGAACTGCCACCTTCACGTCCAGCTCCAGTGGGGGATATGCTTATAAAATCCAAGAAAGTGGGAATACATGGAGCTTAGTGAGTTGTTTTATTGGCAAATTATTCTAAATTAGACATCAGCAAGTCTGTAGTTCCACTTAGGGATGGACTAAGTGGAACTACAGACTCATCGACAGTTTTATCAAGTCAGAATTTTTAGAGACAGATCCCTGATAATCGGTACCTTGGTACCGATTATCAGGGATCTGTCTCAAGAAGTCAACTCAGTAACGTATTAGTATAATTATCCCCTCAGGCTAATCAGATAATTGCTGATTATTAAAAATGCAAATAACTGGAGGTAAAAAAAAAAAAAAAAAAAAAAAAATAGCAGGTAGCTAAAATGCAAATGAGCGCCTTCATGTTGTTGAAATGTAAAGTTAAAGTAATTATAACTACAGGCAATAGTAAAAAATGTGATTCAGGCTTTAAACATGTTTATTTCTGCTCTGGTTGGACTTTTTAACATTGGAGTCTATGGGGCATTGACTCACTTTTGAGCCAGCCTCATGTGGCCACTAGAGGAATTACAGATTTTGGCACGCTACTAGGATGAAGGGAAATGACTCGAGATGGCTTTATTTTACCAAGATAATGAAACGCTGCACGTTTATTAAAACAGATACCTGTTAGAAGGATCTTTACAAGGTGGACAGAAACATTTAAACATCAATCAAAACATCTGCCCGGCTCTGCTGCTCCCACACTGCTTCCTGTGAAATAATTTAATGCATATTTTGAATATGCAGATACCCATAAAAGCTAAATGAATGGATGCCATGATGAGCAGCCAAACATTTTATATATATTTATGCATTTCATATAAGAATGAAAAGAGCAACATCAGGATTTCATTTGGAAGGACATTCGGAAAACAACTTCAGCTTTACTAACTGCAGCTAAACTTTGACTTTTAAGGTTTGATGTTTTGTCTCTTTAGGACTCCGAGCATTCTCAACAGGGAGCCCACAGACTGGAAGCCAAAGAATGAGAAACCCTCTCCTTCCCTCAAACATGAGTTCGACCCTACAGGTAACAGACACAGATTTCTTTATTTTCTTGGATTTGTTGATCACTTTTGTTTTCTCATTTGCTTCATTCATTGTTTGCAGAATTTTCACTCTGTGAATTCAATGTGAAGGTTTATCTGTAAATATCCGTCATAAAGGCTCGATGAATGACGACGGATCGATTCTTAGCTCGTAACGCAACTTTCTAATCTCAGCTTGTACCGATGTGCGGGTGCAGAAATGAATTGTTTTGCGTCACTTGAACGTTCTGTGGTGTTAACTTCAAATTAAGTTTAAATATCTTTCTGCTTTCAATAATTGGACAGACAAAAAAAATCAGTCTTTGCTTAGGGAAATAGCACAATAGTATGTAGACAAAGAGTTCCAGCTTCATCAGTGATGCAGCTTTCTTTTCTACACTTGTACTATTGAAGTGTTATTTTTCTAAGCCTGAACTTTTGCATCCACTTTGCTTAAAACTTTAAAACAGATATTGTCCACTAGAGTATTTATCACAGAGGCTGGCGGGGGAGCGAATAGAGATGGTGTGGGTGTAGGCTGCGCTCAGAAAGAAGTTGTGAAGGTGGTTGCCTGGGTTGCCGGGTTGACATTAATCCTTTCTGCCCTTTTGTTCACCCTGGAGTCTTGAGGCTCCTCATGGAGTCCAAAAGACAACCAATTATCCACTCAACTCTCTCTGATGGTTCTTTGAAGTGGGAGTAACCAGACAGGCAGATTGCACTAAACTTCCTCAGTGGCTGCAGGAAGAACATCAAGTTTTCCTGATCTAGCAGATGTTCTTTGCAGATTTCATGTTGCTGGTGAGGTTGATTTGTAGGATTTTATTATAGACGCAGCTCGGTTTGCAAAATGAGTCCCTGACCTCAGAGGACTGCAAAGATTGGTCAGATTAAAATGAGTACTACTAGCTGTGCTCCTGGCGTGAGCTGATGGGCATTTCTGTGCCATTTATGCGACATTTAGTTCAATGTCTAATTAGGGCGTCGCTTTCTTACCACTTAAAAAAACAAAACGTGGGTGAGATTAAAGTTCTGGTCTACCTCATGCACTCCACAAATCACTTACCTTTATTTAACATTAAAAGCAAAGTAATCAGAGTAATATTTATTCTACTCTTTGTAGCAGTTGTCATTTAAATATATTTTTGATGCATATTTGAGACGATACAAGTTAGGTTTTATATAACTTGTATCTTTTTTTTTTTTTCAAACATAACACAGATCTCATTGTGAAATTACATCAGTGTCTTTATATATTTAATTCATTCCCACTGGATAATAAAATCATGGTTGGTCTAGCACTGTACCGTTTTACCTGATCATTTTTATAAATATAGTGTATATAGTTAACAAAGAAGTCTGCATCTTTCATGTTAACAGGAATGAGGAACGAGGGGGATCATAGAGGATAACCGCACTGCAAGTGCAGCATTTTAGTTACAGGCATTAGGTTGTTGCATTCAACCTTTAGATCAGGGCTGTCAAACAGTAGAAGTCCATCACAAACTCCAATCCATTCACCTGAATGGCTTTGAAAAATGTGAAGGAGGATCAATTTTGGACTGTTAAATGTATTTTTATAAGTTTTACAGCTTTTCCTGCTGATAGAGACCGCTCCTGTGGCCATTCATACTACACCAAAGTAAATAAGTACTGGCTCTACAGTATAAAAAAAGAAAGTATTTCCTTTTATAGTTACAGTACAGTCTGGGCAATGAAACCAAAACATTTTCTGTAATTTTATACATTTTGTTCTTGGAGTTTAATTCCAGAGAGTCGTGCTCACAGATTTGTTTATTTACTACAACAAAATTTCTTTATCATAGAGAAACACTGTACTGGTAGTGTTGAAATCGCACTTCCTCTTCTTATATTAGGAAGTGTCAGTGATTAAATGTGCAGTTAAACTCCTTTTTAGTGACAGAACATACAGTTTCACTTCTTCTGCCCACTTAAGATCGAAATGGAGGTACGTGTGACCAACGTCTCTGCTTTAGATAGAGAGTGAGTTTAACCCTTTCATGCATGAATTATGACAACCACGATCAGGGTTTTTTTTTCTTAATTATTTTTATTCATCTTTAGGCATGAAAAAAGACTTTTGAACTTCATTTTTTAAACATGTACTTTTCAAGGGGTTTTTACATGTGAATGCACTTACTTACATATGAATTTGACAAATGAATAAATAATATACACTGTGTGTTGTGTTTATGTGCAAGTATACCATCAACATTAACACAAATACAATAAAACAGCCTTTGAATAGCTGTCAACTGTAGTGACCACTATGCGTGAAAAGGTTAAAAAGATTATTATTGTTTATTATTTCTATCTGTGTGATTCCTCCTGTCAGGTTTAAGCACTGTGCTGGTGTGCCTTTGGCCCAGAATCGTGTGCTACTGTAGTTTTAAGCTTTAGAATCGGGTTTGAGGCCTATTTGCCTACACATATCTACACAGATATTGTTCTCTGCAAAAAACAAACAAAAAAATTCATCCTAAGTGCTGAGGTTTGGTATATGTTTATATAAAGTTGAGTGACATCTGCAGAATAAAGATAACTTCTGAGGTAAGTGAAGGAAGATTTGATAGAGGACCTAAAACTGACCCTTGTGGAACACCATACTTTTTTTTTAAAAGTATAGTTGTCATACAACTTCAGATCTAAATGTGTTCCAGGTTATTATTTTAGATTATGTCTTCATGCAGAGCAGAGAACAATCAATACCATCACTATCACAGCTTTAAAACAAAGATGTGGTCATGTATTTAAAATCTGTGTTAAAAAATCAGCTTTTTCCAGGCACAACAACAAATTCCCTCCAACAAGTTTTACTTTAGCAATATAAAGTTATAAGTACAGATGTTTTCTCTAATAATAAAACCAGGCTGTGATGTTAAAACAACAAATAGGCAACCAATGACTAAGCTAGTGTCAACCTTTAGCCCTGCTGCTCTGTGGTATCTATTTTGATTTTCTCGACTATTTTAAACATTATTCCAGTGAACTCTTTCCAAGAGATGAGAGGAAAAATGAATATCTTTTAGCAGTGAGTCTCAGCAAAGACGGCAGGAGACTGTTTAAGAAACTATTTTCATTTCAGTCTTGTAATTTGTCACTTCCTGTGTGAATGCTTTTTCTTTGTTCTCCCCCGCAGTACCGGATCGAGGTTTATAGTGCAAAAGAATGAGATTAAACTTCATATATTACTGCTCTCAGTAACTTTGTAATGTTGATATCAACCACATCCAACAACAACAGCAGTGTGATGCTTTCATCTTTGTAACACAAACAAAATGCCACAAAACAAAGTCGTCCACAGTTT